GATCAAGGACCGTTACAAGTGCACCCCAGACAGACCGGCGCAGGAGTTGCAGCAGCGGTTTTACGACGTCGCCAACAGATTACAGGTGGCCTCTCACACTGTTCTTCACCATTGTGGCGGTTGTGTCTGCTGGTGTGGGCACTCTACCATCGACTTGAACTGCGGTGCCCGTGGTACCTGCAGTAGAGCTGTCACGGCGACGACCAGCATCAGGCTAGAGAAGACTTTATTCCATAACGATTATCTGTTGATCGTGCGTTGGTCTGTGACGTTAGCGTTTTCGCTGCGAAACTTTTCGATGTTTTTCTGAACGTTCTGATGATTCCGGGATCAAGACGCATACCTGAAGCATGGAGTCGAGGTCTTGATGTGAACACCAGAACACCAACCGTCTTGCAGTGCCACAGCTCCAGGCAGTGTTGTCTTGGCGTTTGCTATCGTCACTAATAAGCTGTTTCGTAACATGTATTCATCGTGTTCTGTTTGGTGTTTGTTGGATGGGGCAGACGGTTCGGAGAACAGCGTCAAATGGTGCGGGTGGAGGTTCGCTGTTGACCATGCCCGGACTCACGGCCTTCAACGCCACCCACGAGGCAGAACGGCGGCAGCAGCTGGAGGTGAGAGCCGTGTATTCGACGAGGAAGACACACACACCCCGGCCCGGTGATCTGCCTTTTGCGCTGCGCTTCTTCTCAAGAAAGTATCACAGGGGGCGTTGTGCGGGGTGTGCGTACCTTGTGCCATCTCATGTGGTGTTGTTTGTTTGGATTCACGTGGACCCGCAAACGTATTACCCCCAGGTGCGGCATTGCGTTTGCGGGGGTGTTTACCGTAAGTGACACAAGATAACACACCCCGGTGATAACAAATCTGAGTTTAAAAATATTGATCACCGGTGTGGTATCCTGTGGGGGGTGTGGTATCTTACGCATCCCGGGTGGTAAAGTGCAGCTCGCAGGGAGCCCTAAGGGGGTGTGATAAACCGGGGGGGGGTGATAGCACGTCGGACCACCCACAGGGTATGTTTGAGGGTGTGATACAAAGGGGGTGAGATAGCACGTCGGACCACCCACGTGTGATGGTAAATGAAGGGGTTTGTTATACTGCCCCGCACATACCATGGCACGCCACCTACCGTAATGTAATACTGCGAGATGTGGTAAACAGACGGGGCTCAACGGAGGTGACGAAACGCTTGAGCACATGACCTCGACGATGTGTTACCCGCTCAACGCCAAAGAAAGTTTCAAACAAAAACGGACTTGAATGGAGCAGAGGAAAACGAAAAACAAGTGCTAGGATCGAGGGCGCCCGCGCCCCGCGGCGCTGCGGCGTGTAAGGTGTCGCCTGGGAGCTAGGTATACGTTATGACCCAGGAACGGCGGGGACAAGAACCAAAAATGATAACGGGTCCATCTACCAAGCAGCATCCGTGTTTCTATCATGATTGCAGGATCAAAAACTAAAAACACAAAAATCAAAGGTACCTCGCCCGATACATTGCCAGGCGATCGCCACAGAGTGGCCATTCCGTCCTACCCCCTCACAAACAAGTACCTAGTAGGCCGCTGCTACCTACCTTGCTACGTCACCACGATAAAAAAAAATCAAGACCACTAACCACTACCGCAAACAACACTACGTTGCACTCGACGCGTCGAAGAAAACACACGACGAAGAGAAACGCACGCCAGGAGAAATGCGAGGGAACATGAGAAGGACACCGCAAGCCATTTCTCAACATCAGATCGGCACTTCTTTACACGTACCCAGTGGGACCCTACAGCAGTGTATTGGATATATTGGGGGGGCTCGTAGCATAGTATGACGGAAGATCTTCAGTACGTTCGTACGGAAATTGCAGTGATGACATGCGGAGGAATCAGAGATATCCGTTTGGTAGTTTGAGCGTGATGAGCGTGACGCGTGCTTGATGCCGTGACAGATTTACGAGCACGAGCACGCCCCCGAAGAATACAACACGTTTTCCTATACGTCCCTCCCCTACCACGGCCCGTCATGGTCCAGCTGCTCTACACTCCCAACACACAGAACTGAGCCACCCGAATAATCGATCACGCTAGCGTGTGACACGTCGTCAACGATATTCGCGTCGATCGAGCTTAGTTTGGAGTTACATCGCTTTGCGGCGATCAGCAGCAGTCACCAATGAGCACCCCCTACCGAAACCGAGACCGAGAGAGCGACCGTCAAGCAGTGGACGACGACGCCCGGATCAACGAGTTGGTGAACGAGAGGGTAGCAGCGAGACTGGCCGAGATTACAAGGCAACAAGACGAGCAGTAGCAGAGGACAGATCACGTCCGGAGCGGGAACGACCACGAGACACGCCACCAGCAACATGCGGGGCGACCATCGGCCGGCCCGTCCGCAGACGACACCGCCCGCACTCTCGCCGACGCCCAGACCAGCCGTCTTCAGATATCACCCGCAGACACGGGTAGAGTACCAAGTAGCGCAGCGACTCTAAGAATGACTGAGGTTAAGCGCCTAGCGCCGTGGGATGGTATGTATAGGCAAGGGGAGGATGAACAGGCAAGGTTTTCGATTTTTCGATCGAACATGATTGCTATGTTTGCGCAAGGAGTCAGGGAAGTGGTATTGAGTGACCACAGAATTCCAGTCGGGCTAGAAGGAGTAGACATGGAGGACTTGCGTAGGATGCACTCGCCTGATACAGTAGAAAACGTGATCACGGCGTGGAATTTGATCATCACGACAATCACCTACATGCCTCTCTTGACCCAGATCATCGCTGATGGTAATCCCGGTGGGGGTTGGAAAGTATTACTAGCATACCTATTACGAACCCCAGGCGAGAGCAGAAAATACACGGTTGACTTCGGAATACCACGCCATAAAAATGCGAGTGGGTGAAAGTCCGCAGGAATACTTTGGCAGATTTGCTGTTTTGCGCAGCAGGTTAGCCTCACACGGCGTCACATACCCCGACGATGATGCCAATTTGCACGTTTTGTACAACTTGTCTTCCGAGTACAAAATGGAGAAAGCTATGCTGCGTGCCCTTCCGCCCCCCAATTTGACCCGTCAGCACCTTGAAAAGGTGGTGAAAGATGCCCATACAGGATATGGTGACCGCACGGGAGGGGGAGCCGCAGAATGATGCGGAGCACGCTTTCGTCGCTGCCGGTGGGAACCGGGACGACGGACGTGTCCACAATGGGTCCAGTGGGAACGGCGGGGGTCAGGACGGTAATGGAGGCGGTCGGAGCAGCAACAACAGGGCGGACGGAGACACGCGCTGCGACTATCATCCGTACTCGTCGCACACCAACAGGGAGTGCTACACCCAGCGTCGGCAACGGAAGAAGCACGAGACCAAGCAGCAGCAGCCTCAGCAACAGCAGCAGCCTCAGCAACAGCGGCAGCCTCAGCAACAGCAGCAGCCTCAGCAACAGCAGCAGCCCCAACGACAGCAGCAGCCCCCGCAACAGCAGCCGTCTCAGCAGCAATAGCAACCTCGGGGACCGCCGCCGCAGCAGCCGAGCCGCAGTTGGGGGGGGCTGGGGGGGGGGGCCCCGGCACGGGCCTCATGGCGGCTACGGAGGACAGCAGCATCATGGACATCCAGCTCCCCCTCGTACACCGCAGCAGCAGCGTCGGCCCCCGTACGGGCATGCAAATGTAAGTCAACCATATTGTGCCGCGCCCCATGAGGGGACCGCGTATGGTAACGAGTATGGGGGATGAGAGCATCAGCCATCAGCCACGTATCAGCAACCTTTGCAAGACTACAGCTTCCAGCAGCAGCCGTATTACCCGCCTCCGACAACGTACTGCCAGCAGCAGCAGCAGCCACCGCCGCAGCCTCCGCCACCGCCGTCGTTCCAGCAGCAACCGCAGCCGCAGCAGCACTCGACCCATGCCCCGTACCATTCGCCTCCTCCCGACGCAGCCGGGTCCCCTGGATTAATTCTATTTACGTCACCGGTGGCGTTATTTCTTATATACGTCACCGCTCGTATCTCAGCCCACAGAGCTTCAATTGGCACAAAATGAATTGCGTTGTGTAGCTATGACCCACACCAATCATACCAGCCAACTTGAAGCAGGATCCACTCGGTAGTTGGAGAGCTCTTGCCGCGGAGTTACGGTGGAATATGTGGTTGGTGCCCACCGTTTGATTCCGCTGAGACCCCTTTTTCGAGCATGCCTCTCCAACTACCGAGTGGATTTTGCTTCAAATTGGCTTGTATGATTGATGTGGGTCATAGCTACACAACGCAATTCATTTTGTGCCAATTGAAGATCTGTGGGCTGAGATACGGGCGGTGACGTATATAAGAAATAACGCCACCGGTGACGTAAATAGAATTACCCGATCCCCTGGGCATCTTCACTTCCTCAAGACACGTTTTGTGTCACAAGGCGAGATCTTTCCAAGTGTGGTAGCGCGTGAGATTGGTAGTGGTTTCGCTTTGTCTGTTCAGAGTCGCCCTTCGCAGATTGGTAGAAAGCAATTTTGGGCCGACAGCGGCGCAAGCAACACGCTTGTCAGCGGTAGCGAAAACATGTTCGACATGAAGCCGATCCCAGAAGGAAAAGATTTCATCCAAGTCGGGAATGGTGCCTATCTGCGCGTGCAATGTGTTGGTAGCATCAACATGGCATTTCACATGCCTGGCCCTTCGGGCGAGACCGATTTTTGCGTGCAGATGGCGGACGTGTACGTTGTCCCCGGCATCATGTTCAATCTGTTTTCTCTGCACCATACGCAGCGTAGGCAGAGAATTACGTTGGATGAATATGGCGTGCATCTATTCAATGGCCAGCTTTCCTTTGCTTACTCCGATGTAGGATGTTCTCTTTGGGCCACTCCCTTGCCTCCCACGTATACCGGTAGTGCTGTAACCCTCGGTCCCGATGCCCTCCCTCGTGTGTCTCCCCAAGCTCCCCCGCCTAGCGTTGGGACAGGCCTTGTTGTC